ACTGCTGCTCAATCAATAAGATTACCCATTGCATATATTTAAAACATCATTGATGGAAGGGCAGCAATGGTAATACAAGCACAAAGTAATATCCATGAAAAGGGTGAATGTTTTCTTCCAACTGCACTATAGTACAGGTAGTCCTTAACTCATGATCACAATTGAGCCCAAGGTTTCTGGTGTTAAGTGAGTTTTGCCCATTTTATGACCTTTCTTGCCACAGTTCTTAAGCAAATCACTGCAGTTGATAAATTGACTTTTGCTTGTCAGAAGGTCGCAAAAGGGAATCTTATGTCCTTGGGACTACAGCAACGGTCATAAGTATGAACCAGTTGCCAAGCATCTGAATTTTGATCACATGATCATGGGGCTGCCACAAAGATCGTAAGTGTGAAAAACAATCACAAGCCATATTTTTCAGTGCCGCTGAAAGGTCACTGTTCTGACCCAACTGGGTTCCCAGAGAGCAAACACAGACAAAGGCAGCAGCCCCCACCTTTTAAGGTTTGATCACAATTCTGTTCCTTTACAGATAAAAGGCTGCTTTCCACCAATTAGCTCCGACAAGAAAGAGCCTTGCCAAGTTGTTTGTCAAGGCTGCCAAAAACCCAGAGATAAGAACTAATTTACAGAATTCTTCAAACGCAAACTAAGATGTCCACCAGTTGAGTTTCAGAGCTTCTTTGCTTTCTGCAAAGAATACTTTTTCAAACTTGGCTTTTACCCTCTTGAAGGGAGGGGCCATTACCTTGCAGCCTTACTCCCGAGTCACCTGTACTGCTGTAATTGTTCTTTCCACCGAGTAATCCTTCATGCACGTGCACTTGGCACAGGCTCCTCAGGAACCTCCTCGTCACTGCTGCCAGCCCCCACAATCTCTGAAGGCAGCAGTCCACTCCCTGATGGTCCTGGCCCCTCATCATAGTCATTGCTCTCCTCAGCACCTGCTGCCGGCTAACCACAACAGGTCACTAAATGAACTGTTGTAAGTTGAGGACTAACTGTAGTTGCCCTCTGAAATTCCTCCTTGATCAAAAAGGATAGGAGGAACATGGGGTCCTTGGTGCTCTCTGAATTTGGTATTTTGTATGCAGTAACGTCATCTGTGCTAGTGCTTGCCCTGTTACCTAGTTTGGATAATGTCTGCATAAAAAATATCAAGCTCAGAGAGCACCAAGGACCCCTGATTTCAACCCTGAACTACAAATATTCTCCTTTATTGATGACATGGTTCTTGTTGCATCTTATAGTGAAGTATGAAATAAAGATTAGGCAGAGTTTAAAAAAATATTCTACAAGGAACAGTGTTTACAATTTGTTAAACGGTGTTTTCTTCACCAGTAACAATTAGGTTCACTGAAAACATGTGTTTCTATGGGTGCAATTCTACAGCTTAACAGAAGGAAACCACCTGGGCATAAACAGAACATTTGATACTGGCAGATGATGCTTCTAGTTTTGCAGACTTGTATGTTGTGGACTGCATGTTAGGAATGGAAATGTCTCCTGTGAATATGTTCAGACTATAATAGCATGAGGAGCCTGGAAGTGCCTGAGAAATACCTAATACTTAATACAGATGCACAGAAGCACTTAAAAGTATTTTAGGATTATTTAATACGAGACATCCCGTGCCCTGTTAGGTCACTGATTTAGTGATATATCTTATCTAAACAGAGAAATGAAATGACTATGGTAGACAGAAAAGCAAAAAACCCTCTAATTCCTGCTGGTTTTCCCATTTACTTTACATTGCTTGTGGGAAGCCTGAAGGGAGAAAAATCAGTAGTGAAGCCAGCAAGAAATTGCAAGTCCAAGGCCAATAGGCAGCTAAATGCTTGTTGTTGGATGAGGAAGGTAGCAAGGGATTACAAGAATGGCTGAGAAACTGTCCTAGAATGTTCAAAATAGGCATGACATGACTGCAGCAGCAGCCTGGTAAGCACTGAAACAACCACATGTTCCTCAAATTTTATTCTCTCGGGAGTCATAGCTCCTGGATTTTGGATACATTCTGTAGGTTAGGATTTGAGGTACCTTGGTTCAAATATTATTCTCCTATGATGTACTATTCTACCTAGTTAAAGATTATGGGAACAAGACTTTAAGTAGTACATCAATTTTTGTTCTTTACTTGACTCAGATCATACAAACCATTCTTTCAAATAAACATAGTCAATTAAACTTGTTTCACTTTCACTCATTTTCCAGTTTCAGTTTAGGCAAGGGAAAACTATCACAGCCTTAAATGTTAAAAGGGGATTGTTATGTTCTTTTAGATATTTGCCTAAGAAAGATTCTGATACACACTTTGTCTTTGTGCTTGGCTGATTTAGGAATGAACACAGGAAAATATGTCAGAAGATAAAATCTGTCATAAGGTTTATCACTTTCTTATCTTTATGATTAAGTGAGTCATTCTTTTCTAGCCTGGCACTTCTGAAATGTCAGGAGCCCTGCCAGCAAGAGCAAGGCAAATTACACGTAGGGGATTCTACAACCGAGCGTATGTAGTCTGTGGGGAAAGACATTTCTCTGTCTGCAAAGACTGATGGAGGCAGAGTTTTGGATCTTTGGTTCTCAACCTTAGGTTCCTGAATGAGGTTGGACATCACTACCAGTCATATTTGACCACTGTCCATACAAACAAAAGATAATGGAAAAATAGCTGGTAATGCAAATTGGGAAATACTTCCTGAAAACAATTCATTTTCCAGTTTGTGCATAATGAAAAAAATTAAGGGTGTTGAATAAGAAAAATAACTTGATTTTTTTGTTTAAAACTAAACATTTCTTGAGGGAAGGAAGTACCTATGGAGCTTGTATTGTTACATGATTTATTACTCCAGTCTGACCTCCTTTTAATTATCTTTTCAATTAGTAGGGTAGCAGATAATCATGCTGAGGTGCAAGTAATAAGATCATTATTTCTGCTGCATAGAAGCAACAGCACAATTATCTATCCTTGGAGAAGATATGATGTGTTGGAAACAGTGATTCGTATAGTAGGTGAATTTGCCATGAATATTAACAATGACAGTATGCCTTTAGTTTATGAAGCAATGATCAGAAAATCCTGCTCATGGAAGCAATACACACACACACAAAATAAAATATCATTATCAATTCTACAGTTTGCCTGAATTATAGCTCTATAATTTGTTGGTATATAGTTGAAGTGAAATAAATGTAGTCAATGATTCATATTTTATATTAAGCCACAATTCTATTAATTATGGTTTATATAATAACTAGCTGGATTTGCATCATATCCTAAGCAATATATAACATCACAGATCACAAATAACAGATAGATATTCTAATCTGAAATCAAACCACATTATGACAGGGCACAATTATGAATCTAGTCCCTCTGTATTCATGCCAATGATGTCTGTCAGGAAGATCAGAATCTGTGAGATGCTGGGATCATTAATGAAATGTTACCACATGTGTGCATGCAGTGAGTCATGTCTGCTTACAAAGGATCTTTGATCCGATTCTGCATCAACAATCTTAAAGATGTTGACCCTTCCCAATGCCCATCTTTCTTATATAAAATAAGATACTTTTGTTCTTATTTTTGTTTCAGTTATTCTATAAGAAAGTTAATCTTGCATAGAAAATAAGCCTTATGTTCTTAATTCATATCTAGTTTATTGAAGTTGGACTAACATAGTTACTTTAGTCAGATACCTAGATGGCATTTGTTAAATATATTGTACTTGACATATTTTCCATTCAAGTTTTTTTAACACAGACTTTTCTAATATTTATGCACAGACAGTCTAATTATTCTGGCAAGACTAGATATAATAGTAAAAAAAGAAATGTATTTCAGTAGTATTGAGAGATCTCAAAATAGTATAGAAAGAAAGCAAATATGGAAATTTCTTTGCAAATTGAAAGATAATAACATCTTGCAATGACTGTGTATCCACAGTGAGATTTTTTTTTATTTGTGAAGTCAGAGAATCAAATCAAATTTGTATGCATTAGATTATATAATACTCCCAATACATGTACTGGGAGACATATATGCATGTACATGCATACTCACATGCCCAGACTTTTAAAAAACATTTTATAATTACAGATATTATATATTATTTGTTCTCTCTTCCTGCCTCCCTTTCTTTTTTGAAGGAACCCAAAATGACCTGCATGAATTTCCCAAGAGTCACTATCCAGATTAAATTCTACTCAATGTTAACATACTTGCAGTACTAACTTAGAGCTAGAGTAAATTTAATTCAGAGCTACAAAGAACACAAGCCTATGTTCTGTTATTGCTTTACTTGCAATAGCCTTATTGCACCCCATTAAAATAAATAGAAATACATGGCTGCAGTTCTTAACTGCTACACTCCATGTCTCCCCGTAAAAGGGATTACATGATTTTCAAATAGTAAAATTGCATTTACCCAGAACCCTTGAAAACAAGGGTACACATTTTGGTCTGGTTAAGGTGGGGAAAGCTAGAGTCATCATAGCAGGGAAATGATGTAGATCAGGCAGAATTGTACTACAGTTGCTTGGGCTGAAAGTTGTCAAGGGGGTGGTCTGGGAATTTGGGAATTTATTTATTCTTTTCCTATGCTTTTTTAAACTGTTAAGTCTATTTCACAGCTCACAAAACACAGGCACAATTTGCTTTGTGCTTAAAACGAAATGAAGCTGCATTACTGATATTTGGAAGCTAGATTGCCAAACTGCCATGGGCGTCACAGAAAGAGGCTTTGGAGACACAAGCTATCCATCCATAACCTAAAATAAAAGAACTTCTCCATCAGAGAGGTGTATGCAATGCAGATTTAAAGACGAATACACTGAATGCTGAAGCTATTTATTTTTTAAGAAAAGGGAGACTGCTTCTTCCTTTGTCATAACTCCTGAAATAAGTGAAAGCTACCAATATGGGGGTCAAGTTAACTTGATAACCTCAAGCTAAGAAAATGACTAATTGTAATTTATGGTATTTACAGAAATCAGAAACTTACCAGCACTAACAGTGATAGCCTCAATGAACTGCTCTCTCCAGCTGTTTGTTCCAACCACAAGAGCTAGATTTGTCTTCTTAATAAGCTTGTCCACAGTGTTCTGCAGATGGACAGATGAAACATGGAGCACGTAGTAAATGTAAAGGATGCTGGTCAACATCAGAGCATAGATATAGCAATAGCACTTAGACTTATATACCGCTTCACAGTGCTTTACAGCCCTCTCTAAGTGGTTCACAGTGTCAGCATATTGCCCTCAACAATCTGGCTCCTCATTTTACCTATGGATGGATGGAAAGCTGAGTCAATCTTGAGCCAGTGAGACTCAAACTGCCGAACTGCTGGCAGTCGGCAGAATTAGCCTGCAATACTGCATTCTAACCACTGCGCCACCATGGCTCTTCAATATCAGGTGAATGAAATTAAACAAACATGCAAAAGTATCTTGCTTTAAACCAGCTTGAAATGTTTGTGCAAAGTATTTCTTAATGGCGCTTTGTAATTAGACCTACAAAAAGATGACTTGCACATTTTCATAAAGTATTAATCGATCCATATTTGATTCAGTGAAAAGGTAGTCCTATTTTCTTTGGACATCTTAATAGTTGTTATTACAATAATAAGATTTTGGCAAACAAGACTGCTGCTGTAGTCAAGGCAGAATGATCTATTCACCTTCTGCCAATCTGCTACATTTGCAGGACTGGTTCTTAGGAAATACTGATTCATGCTGGCTACTACGCAAAGAAAAAGCTAACCAAGAAAGGCTGAATGATCCATTCCTCCCCCAAATTTGCCTGCACGACATTCCATGAATCTGCCCCCTGGATGTTTATGATAACTGGACAAAGGATTAAATACAAATTAATGCTACTACAGATAGTGTTCAATTTATGACAATTGAGACCAGAATTTTCACTGCTAAGCAAGGCAGTTAAGTGAGCTATGCACAATTGTATGACTCTTTTTGCCAGAGTTGTTAAACAGATCACTGCAGTTGTTAAGTGAATAATGCATTTAACATTATTCACTTCATGAAGTGAATCCAGCTTCCCCGATTGACTTTGCTTGTCAGAAGGTGACTGGGAAGGTTGCAAATGGCAATCAGATTATCTCTAGGATGCTACAAACCTCATAAATATAGGCTGGTGTTGCCAAATGCCTGGATTTTGATCACCTAACCCTGGCGATGGCTGTATATAACACCTTACCTAGTTTATTTTATAAGCTTCTTTTGCGTTGAAATATCTGAAGCTCATTCTGACCAATCTACTCTGCATAGGGAGGAAAGGTAATTTTACAGGAGGCCAGAGCATTGGTCCACCTATTTATTCTTTGAATTTGTAAGGCCAGTAATTGAACTGGGGATTAAAAAAGGCAACTTATAAAAATAGACAAACAGGTGCCATGTAGAATCTCCTGATACATTGATGTATCTCTGAAAATACATTAGTACTTCAGAAAACTGCAATTAACTAACTTATTTGCTTTACTACAGCTAAACTGGATATCTACAGCTTTTACTGATCCTCTGTGTGTTTAATAACCCTGAGATATGCTTATAGAGCAGAGTTGTGAAAACTTTGCTTTCAACCTAATGCACCTCATATTATAAAATTATGAAATATATAATCATGCATAGTTCATTTTCTTTACAAATGATTGATTTGAGCTGCGCCATGATTCAAGTTCAGTGAGGTTGCCTGAAGCCATTCAAAATTACTTTCTAAGGGAATTGACAAGAGAATATTTTGGATGAGCTGCATGAAAAAAAAAAAGAATTAAAAAAGCCTATGTCAGTGATTCCTATGTAATGAAATTCTACCTATTTAATACAGAATGGTGTAAAATTTTAATATCCAATTTAAAATTATCTTCGGGGGATGCAAATGAAAGAAAATCAAAGTTAAATTTAAATATGTGATAATTGTTAATGATGTAAATGCTTATGTTTAGTGGATATGGCATTGTGCTTAATGAGCCAGATTAAATATACATTCATATTCTTTAGCTGAAAAGTTGATTGGGTGAGAAGTTAGGCATTATCTCAAACTTAGCCACTTTACCCATTGGATAAAAGGAAGGGATAAAGCACTTATGCTTTATTATTCTTGATTTTTTTACATTTAAAGTGTGTTTAATGTTCTTATTTGAAGAAGTAGGAAATGACCAGGCTGAGCCTGAAAACAGGATCAGATGCATCATCAGTCTGGAGTCTCTACAGCCCTTGTAAGAGACCTAAGTCCAGCCTGCAATGCCCCCCAAAATCCATTTGCCTTGACCGCAAGTAGATCAGATTCTTGTTGAGATAGCATGGAACAAATTTGTAATACTTTTGAACTATATTCTGACTCCTGATTTCTTGCACCTGACAGAAATCATGTATACAATCTGAGAATTGTGTGTAATTTTCTCCTTTGAACTCATTTCTACAATGAGTGGTAGGATGTTTTCACAAAGTGCTTGAAATACTTAAGGAGATTTCTTGATATGTTTGGAAATCCCATTAGGAAGAGGGAAAAATGAAAGAGAGATAGAAAAAAAGAAATAGAGAAAAGAATGTGGCTGAACAGTTTATCTTCCTATGAATATTTGAAGGCTTTCAAATAATAATAATATTAATAATAATGGTTAAAATATAATTCTTAAAAGTGAGCTGGCAAAGTTTAATAAAATATAATTTCCTACAGGATAAATCTTTACCCTTTTAAAAAAACAGATGCTGCAACGTAATAAATAAATACATAATAAATAAAACATTAGAAAAATTAGCCAAATTATTTCAGCATTATAAGTTGTATGAATCGCACAACTTGCCTTTTCTTAGAACAAAATTCTAATTGCACAGACACATTTTGGGGGTGGACGTTGAGAACTTTACCAAAATATAATCCTAGGTCACCAAGGACTGATGAGGAATAGAGCTAGAGTAAGTTAATGGTTGTTTGCTGTCAGATGGTGCCTGAATTAAATATATTAAATTAATGGTAATAATGACATTAAATATCTACATACTACACCTTGAACTCGTAGGACTCTTCAATAATCACTTCTAGCTTTGTGTGCTCCCCCAGGATGGGGCGCCCCATTTCAGCAATGCGGCGTTCTTCCTCCTCTTTGCTTGTCAGAGGCTGCTTCTCTTCGTTCTCTTCTGGGGATGGAGAAGACACAAAGAACCAGTTGAGAGATGGTTGAGTTTATCCCCCAACATACTCTACTAATGTGGCAAAATCAAGCAAACAACTGCTACAGGAAGACACCATCAGGGCAGCCTCCTGCATTGTAAGGATTGGAGTTTTCTCCTCCAGATAGTTTCCCTGGAAGCATCAGAAAATGATGATCATGGCTCACACCCCCTCTGCTTCCTTTCACCCCTTGTGCTTTTTAAGGGGACCACAATTTAGCAGGTGGCTCTTTGAGCTGCTCTTTGCAACTGGGAAATAGAAAGGGAATATTTATGTATGGATTCACAGGTCTATGTGATACACTACCTAATGTGGCTGTTTTTAAATAGGTCTACTATTAGTTAAGGGTATGTCTAAATATGAAATATATGATTGTAACAGATGCAAAGTTATTTCTATGAGCAAGAATTTTAGACTGCTAAAATAATCTGACTGAGTGGTGTTCAAGCAAAAGCAGATAACATATCCAGAACTGAAATATAAAGAAATATCTTTGGTCCCCTCCCAAAAGAACAAGTGTTTAGATTTGTACACCAAAAGGACAATCTATATTATACCTTTCCTTGATTACGTGAAGACAGACTCAGAGGACATTAGGCTCAACACAATGTCATCACATTTCAGTTTAATATTCCTGGCGAAGATACATATATTGTGTTCAGGTTAATCTGAACCTTTCTCAGTTGTATCTCAAACTATTACTTTGGGTGTGTAAAGTCTAATGAGTAAGTTGCTGTGCCAGATGGGGAACTCTCCCATTTTTTTTTTATTTCCCATAGCTTTTCTCTCTTGGAATGTAATCCATGCCTCTTCATAATTATTTTTATCATCAAGTGGGCTCTGATATTATAACATATATTGGCTGGAACAAAAGGCCTGGAAAGGAAGGGCTTCATGAAAATCAATTCTGGCTGCTGAACTGGCTCCACTTCTCCCCCTTACACTGCTACCATGTAGAGATGTTTCATATTTTTGTAACTAGAACCACAAGTATACATTTACATTTTCTACTGAAGTCTGGCTGACCTTCTAGGATCTGTTTCAATTTTTAAAGTTTTCTTAATATTCCTGTGGGTAAAACTGTCAGTGTTCATGGCCCCAAGGTAATACGTTGGGGTATTGATAGAAAGACTGAAAGTTCCCTATATTCAGACATTATCTTTCAGTGAGAGCCCAATAAAATCTAAGTGAAAGGTGAGTGGGCTCATTGTTATTCTAACCAACACCTGCCCCAACTCCCAGGCAGTCTGAGAGGGTGAAACGAACTTTGTCTGTGTTTAAACTGGAAAACAAGCTAGTTGTAGTTTCTAGGGAAGCTCTTAGAAAAGGAGATTTTGAGTAGCTAAAATCCATGTCTAAATATTTAATTATTTGGGAAAGAGCTGGGATGAAGAATATAATAGATGAGGTGATGCTACAGAGCAGGACCAGGATTTTCCATGGTCTCCATCGTTTGTTCTTATTTTTGTTTATTATTAAATTTTTATGCTGTCCATTTTACTGTTAAAGCAATTCTGGGTGATTTAAAATATAATAAAATAATATCAATAAATAAATATAAATCAATAAAATATTGATTTTAAAAAATGAACTTACTTTAGTTTTACGGTGTAGTTTCCCCATATTTTTCACTTTATAATGGCAGCAAACTTTGTTTATTGTTAATTTTTGGTGGTTGTTCTGACAAAAATCAATGGTATATTTAGGTTCTAGTGGTTGCAAATAAGGAATTTGGGGTCGCTAGTTCCCTGGGGTTGTTTTAAAGAGATACACAAAGGAGGCGGCAAGAATATACAAATGACAGGCTCCATTCTTTAGCCAATTGGAAGTCCTCCAAATAATAGCTGAAGTTTAATGTCTGAGCAGAGCTAAAAATTGGAAGGAGCACAATTAAGCTTCATAAATTTTACTCAATGCTCCTCCCGTTCAAATCTCTATTCTGTCTTATTGACAAGTTGAAAGTACACAATATCTGGCTGTCTCTTAAAAACCTCATCTGACTTAACAACTTAACAGATCAAAAACACATACGGGGAGAATTGGGTTACATGAGACAGACCATCCAATATTCATACAGATCATACAACCAGTAGCACAGTCATGGACTTTGCCAGAGATGAGCAGATAAAAATAAGAACAGATAGGAAGCTAAAGTGACCTTTGGTCAAGATTATTTTGGGGAAATGGAAATTCACAGGGATGGAATAAACAAAGAAGAATGAACATAGTACATTTGCTTTGTACTGTAATCTGTGGAATTCAGTTGCCTATCTATTCTATATATTTGTCCAGCTGAATGTCAGCGTCTGATTGACTTAATACAAAATTAAATTGAAATTTGCGGCATTTTTAATCAGTAAAAGCTTGATAACTGGCAATCTGTTTTCATTATTTGGTTAATTGCACTGTTAATCACCTATTTACAAAGTATTATAATAACACATGTTTAGGGCTCCTGTATTTTAGGAAAGTCTCTTATTGCCACAACTAAGTATCAACAGGAAGGAATTTTAATTACTTCTTTGGCTGGGTAATAATGCTACTTTAGGGTTCTAAGGAGCTTCTCTTATATTCCTAGCTCTAGGATGATTTGATATAAAAAAGTATAATAAAGGAGCCCTTCCTTTCAAATCTTAGAAAGGGACATCTGGCAACCCTATTCATATCTTTGAATGCACAGACCCTCTTGCTGGGAAGGAATTTAATTCTTTGCTTAAAACCAAACCCTTGAATTTTATTTTCATCTCCTTCTCCTTTTGTTTTGTGTTAAAAGTGAATTTGGAAAGTGCTAATACTACTTGATTGGTGCTTAAAAACAATGAGAAGTAATTTGTTAATTTGAATGTATCCAAGAGAATGCCGATGGAAGGGTGGATAGGTGGGTGGAAACAATCTGATTTTTGTTTTGTTGAAAGTGAGTGCACCAGATGTTCTAGTAAGATACAATGAGGGAGAAGCTCAATGAGACTGAATGGTCAGAACTGATTTTTTGCACAGGACAAAGCTTGGCAGAGGGATCCAGCATAGATGCAGCAAAAGATTTTATCTCTATCATCAGCTACAATAAGTTACTGGATTACTGAAGCATCCCCTCCCCATGACATCGTTCAATTTTAAATATAGATAAAGAATAAGTTTAAAACTGGGCAAGAAACTCTGGTACATGAGAAGGATTGTATGGAAGGAGAATCCCTGACTCTATCATCCTCGTATTGCTATGGCAGACATCTGTTCACTTGGCTAGATAGCTTCAAGCAATAGCATCTATCGGTGAGCAAAGGATGGAGCAGACTGACAAGGCTAGTTCTAGGCCTGATAATAACTACTATAAGAAAAGGGTATTTCATGTTTCACCTCTTGTATCCATGTTGGAAGATCACCTAGGATAGAACAATGTGCAAAGGAAATATGAAAGAAAGGGACTCTATTTTGTCCTCTAAAAACGATTATAATTAATAGGGAAGATTGAGTATTTTTTTTGTCAAAGGCATAATAAAATAAATCAAACACCACCTTTCCTTTTCCACTTTAACTATACCTTCCCTGTATCCCACACCAATGCACATGAGTTTTTGGTTTCACCTTATCTATTGGACTGGGTCCCTAACACATCAGAATACCTTGAACGTTGATTACAGTAGAAGGAAGGGGATGGTCTCTAGCATGAACTTTCCTGAAGACAGGCTTTCCTGACAAAATGGCAAAAATAATTAATGTCAATGAGCAGAACTGTGTTTCAATAGTGGTTTTAATGCTTTGTGGAGTTAGAGTCTGTTAAAAGTGAGAAATCTACAAGATAGTGAACTGTAATTTCTACTTCACTCAGGGTTATGACAAGTACAAATGCTCACTGCAGACCTTTTGGAAAATCGGTGAAATAACTCATGCGATGGAACTCAAACTTCCATCTGAGACAACCAACATGGCAATTCAGGATAATGGGAATTGGAATCATTTACCATACAGAAAATTGCAATTTACACATTTTTTTTTATCTTCTTACATTTTCAGAAACAAAGAATTAGGTACTAGTTTTTTTTCAATCCTTCTAATGGCCAACTTTTGATTAATAATCTCCCAATGAATTCCCAACTATAATTGGTTATGAAATCTATGACATGTGAACATGGCATTCTGACATATTCTTTCTATCTTAAGGAATCAGAAAACAGTCTGAATTTGATTTTACTTTACTAAATACTTTGTTCTTCAGATGGATAAAACCTGATTCCTGTTTTTACACAGAGCTCTTTTACTATGCCCACTCGTGGATGAGTGCCTATGTTGCTAAGCCAAAACCTTTTAGGGGTTGGTGTGACAAGAAGACTTGCTATCTGTTAAGTGTTTCAGTAGTCCTTGTAAAAATGAAGAGGATGTAAAAAGTGTCTTTACTGCCCAACACAGTAGAAGTACAATGATGGGAAATTAATGCTCCTTCAATGATAAGCTAAGTTTTATTGATAAGGATCAATAGAAAAAATCCACTTAGCAGTAGTTCTGAGAGTTAAATTCTAGACAAGATGGTGACAGAAGCTCAAAAAGAAGCCAAATTGGTTTAAAGAGTTTTAGCACAATTTGAGATAATGTGTTCAACCTATATTAGATTTGATATTTTCAAACCAAGATATGTATGCCTTAATATTTGTGACAGTCTTCTCTGCCCATATAATTTATTTTCAATTATCATTTGGTAAAAAGATTTTTCATAACAATATTTAAGTATTTCATATCAATGATTGTACAAATGATAGAGTATATTTTGGACAAATAATGACTATTACTGGATATTGCAAACTTTCCCCCCTCTTGGTCTCAAGAGAAAGATTTTCAAAGACAAAGCAGATATTTGATGGTTTTTTTTTCTTGCTATATTTGCATATTTTTTCTGCATCACAATTAGTTGCATCAGCAACATTTTTTCAGAAAACTTATGATTAATTCAGAGCTCAGCCTAGCTGAGTATGAAATCCCTGAGCAACCCTGCAAATGATTCCTTATAGAACTCAACAGCAATTTATCATTTGTCCCAATTAGAATTAAGTGCTTTGTCAATGGCAAATAAGATATAAGATGAATGACAATTTATTCCAGGGACTAGCTGGACAGCTGATATTGCTATTTAAGTATCTATTCATATTTTTATACCATTCTTTTTAAAGGTATATATCCATTTTCTTTTCTCTGCTCCATCTGCACAATGACTTTTAGGCAAAACAAGGGATTTATTTATTTATTTCCTGCCTTTATTATTTTTATAAATAACTCAAGGTGGTGGACATACCTAATACTCCTCCCTTCTCCTTTTCCCCCACAACAACCCTATGAAGTGGTTGGGCTGATAGAGAGTGATTGATCAAATGTCAGGTTAGGGGCCACTCAATTTGGGTCTGTATGTGTTTTCTGCCTACTGGAAGATAGAAAGTCTCAGATGGTTTATTTCTGTGTCTTGCATTCAAATTCTCCTACAGCTCATGTTGCAACAGAATAGTGGGATTTTAATTTTATTTACTTAAAACATTGGCAAAAAAATCTGGATGACTAAATGTTTTAACCTTGCATAGATTTTCTAAAAACTAAAATGTAATGAAAAATACAGCTGAAGATAATTTGGTACCAAGCACTTTGAAGATACCTTAGCAATTTCAGTCACCATATTTTGCTAGTTGTAATATTTGGGGCCTTGTTGTCAACAGATTGGAAGTATCTTAAAAGACATCATCATCTAGTTTTTCAAGTTAAGCCTTCGAGTAATTTTCAGAAAATAATTGTGTTTTTTTTAAAAAATATAAGCTTATTAGCATGAAACATGTGATGTTAGGTTTGTGAGAATGAACTCATAATCAAAAAGTGCTAGTTACGTAGAATGTGGATATGAAAGAAATCAAGATGTCTTACCATTCAAAAATTTCCCTTAATTATAAAAGCAATGACAAGAATAAGCCAAGATGTTAATAAACATAACATAGAATGACAACTTCCAATATATCTGTTGGTTGAAACTACATTCACTATAGCTTTAATATGATGGCTATATATTTCTGATCTATAAAAGCTTTTTGGCTTTTTTGCAGGGTTGAGGAAGCACCTGTGATGCTTCTGAAGCCAGGTGTTCAAGATCCACTCCAATCCTACAATCAGCTATATACTTTACCCTTTGTCAAAAATAAAAGCTCATAATATTTCAAATCTAAGTAGATTGAAATGCAGAATATTATATATTTTTGTTCAAAACACAAAAAGTAATAAGGAGACTGTTTCATGTAACCTTCAAGGAAATTAACATGTGCTCATACATTTTAATAGGACTCTCACAACAGGAGTCCTTGGTGGGATAGCTCAGCTTTCTTCCTATGCCACAGATAGGTTTGTCTGATGTTACAAAATATATCTTTTAACTTTTCATGAAGGATGATAGTAAAGTAATAGTAGAGTTGATTAACTAGTCTGAAATTTTGCATTTGGCCCCCAAAGAGAAGAACTGCAACAGTTTTGGAAATCTTGCTATATATTAATCTTTGAAAGGACAGAGATTAAACTAGTTTTCTTAATACCAAAACAGAGTTCCAGTTGTTTCTGTTGTTCCCCTCTGGGAGGACATTTTGAAGTATTTCTAGCAGGACTACCAGATTCTGTAACAGCTTTGTTCCCTATGCCATCCATTCCAGTAAACTTGCAAGATTCACTTTTCTCGTCATGTACATGTATACATTCGGACTAGACTGTGTTGTTTCTCTGTGTCATATAATATATGTGGGTATATGCATAATTTTGTATTTATTTATTTATTTATTTATTTATTTATTTATTTAGTCACATTTATGGATTATATGTTGGAGGTGATGTTTTGAGAGCTGCATGCAACGAAATTCAATTTTAATGTATGCTGATTAATGTACATTCAAAGTGACAATAAAGTTATTATGTTCTGTCTGTTCTACTCTACTCTACTCATTCTATGTTTTATAAACAGTGGCCAACTAGAAGCCCATTCAAAGCCTACAGATAAGGCAATGGGGGAACAGACTTCTCTCAACTTTGATTGCTAACCACTTTTTATATTTTATATTTGTTTGATGTAGTCTTTGCTTAGTGACCACAAATGAGATCAGCAACTTGGATGCTAAGCTGAAAAACAATGGGGCTCATAACCTTACTTTCCCTTCAGTTGCTAATAGAAGCAACGTGGTTGCTAAGTGAAAAATATTGTGACTGCAAATTATGATTTTACTTCTACCTTCTATATTAACTCCTCTTGTTACAAGTGAAAGTGTACACTAGTTGTGAAGCATCTGAATGATGATCACATGATTGCGGTATGCTGCAATGGTTACAAATACGAGGACAGGTCACAACTGTCCTAAGCACCGTCATAACTCCAAATGGCTGCTGCATGAGACAGTCAGTAAGTGAGAACTAACTGTTCATGGTATTACCTCAATTCTTCTCCTCCACCCCACCAACAATATTGTGAGGTAGCTAAGAGTGACTAGCCCAAAATCACTCATTGAGCTTTGATAGCTGAAAAGTACGCTTAAATTTACGTCTGCTTCACCCAACATTTTGACCATCACACAACATTCGTTTTGGGGAGCACTATGCATTTCTAGTAAATAATTGATAGCTAGGTATAATAGTAAAAAAAAAAAAAGATCAGCTATATAAAACTTGTATATTTGAGCAGAAAGATACTTGAAAATCCATACCTGTAATTGTGAAGCCACCTAAAGGAATGCCAAAACAGAGAAAAAAAGAAAGGAAATTAATATATTATTACAACATGCATTACTTACATAATTGAAGCTTTGCTCTTAATATGAATTACATATTTCCTAATAGGAATATGATCACAGTGTATGTTTATCTGTATGGCTTGTCAATTAAAAGATTATCTAAATTTCTCAAATATGAACATCAAATGAAAAATAGGAAACCATACCTTGTCAATCATAATTGGTTGAAAACATAGTTAAAGGCAGGATTAGAAATTAAGAGAATAATCTTCTCTAACTTGTTTTTCTTCAAGTGTTGAGACTATAATGATCAATTTTGAAACAAAAATATATTGCATTTGGAAAATGTCCCTTTGGTTGTTTTAAAAATTCAGAGAAGCATTTTAATAGCAGGAAATAGATATTCTTTATGCAAGAGATCCCACATCCAATTCCAAGATCACTCTGATACCCTCCAGATGTGCTAGATATCAGTATACATCCCCTGCAGCCAGTGTCCTGGTTGGAGGTGATGCTACAATCCAGTACACCTAGAAGATGTTTGGTGCAGAAGCCAGTCCTGAGATCTCAAAATAAAAAGGATTTCTGACAGTGGGGATAAAATATAGAATATGTCTAAAAGCCTCCATATGATCTGATGTTAACATTTAATAATATACCATCTGTTACATATTCCATTTTTCCTAAAGCATTATGCCAAACTTTCTTGATTCCTTCACATTCGGTTGTCATAATGTCTATCCAATTGTACGAAGCAGCTCCTTCTGGGATGGATATGCATGTCTGAGGCCTACTTTCATTGTTCTCTCTCAAGAGAATGAATACGTGATCTGACTCCAATATAGTAAAAAGAACAGGCCCGTGATACATAAACTCAGGAAAATATCTGGCTGTGCTAGGGTTGTAAGATTGCCTTTCTCAACTGAACCTGTCCATTTGTGATGGACTTAGCTGCTGTAATTGCCAGCCAAAATAGATTTATGGCTATTGGTTTTATATATAACTGAAGGTTGGCAGCTTGGAGAAGGCTGGTATAAGAAAGTTGTACATATTGAATGAGTCTAGTTTCCAAATAAAACCTGGTTTATCCTTTGTTTCAATTTGTTTAAAGTTTATTTATGAAGAAAGGTAGAATTGTATGGAAATCTATCCTATATGAATGTCACAGGGATGGATGAGAGCTGTTTTTGTCAAGCTTCATTTATTTTGGCTGAATATAGGAACACATTACTCTTCGTGATAAATGTGTGTCCTTTATGAGGTTGTCTAAGAAAGACCAAATTGTTTCTGAAAAGTCGAATTTAGAATGTGAAAATACTTGAAATCCAGTTGCAAAAATCCCAAAGAGACCAGAATTTCTCACTTTCATTTACTAAAAGAAATAATTGTCTGATCATAAAAAAAGTAATTTTCTTTTGAGCTATTTCTATAGCAGGTCCCAAAGACATTCAGAAATGACTTTTCCTTGAAAAAAGTGGCTCTTTAGTGTCATCAAGGATTGCAACATAGCCATGGATAAACAAGGTTATATGGTTAAAAATTATGGAGGTTATAATCCAAAATATTGACACTAAGCTGGCGAAAGCAATTTTAAAGAATGCTTAAAAGGGAACCTATTATGTCATGCTGCAAACCATAAGACAAATAAAAAGTGATGTTTGCTATTCATTAACATACCAAAGGAAAGATTGAATACAATGTGAATCTTGACCTGATTAATTTATGCTCTGGTAACAAACTTTGGTCAAATATCATGAAGAATCTTCTATTTTTTATTAGTTCTTTCCTATCTTGATTTTGGTCAAAGACACACTGAATCTGAAGGATCATGTTCAAGCCAGTATATGTGGAGAATGAATTTAAGCACAAACTGATATTCAATGACTGACATAAATCGTTTTTAATAATCTTTATAAGAGGACAGCTTCCTTGAATATTTTGAGAAAAATAAAGCATGAAATAAATTGAAAAAATAATTTACATAAAACACATTGATTGACTCCCCCATATGGAAAAGAAATGCAAGAAATGCAGTGCTTACCAAGCTCATTCAACAACAGGGCTGTGGAGAAGACACAGAAGGACAAATACAGAAAAAAAAATGAGCAATGAAAGTAAAGAAGACATCCACAGAAAAGCCTCAGATCCAGGAGGCCAGAAAGCACAGATCTGCAAAGCTACAGGATACCATTACTACAAAGAAAAATAGCATGAGAAATAATGGAAAAGACACGTTTCATGGAGATAAGCTGTGAAATTGTGGGAAAATATTAAATGCACTGTTATGTTTTGTGTAACAGACAAATCTTTAATTCAATCAAGGTTCCCAACTTTTAGATCATATTCTTGGATATATGTGAAGATCTTAATTTTGCTTCATTAACAGCTCTGCCAGAGATTGAGGAAATAATATGTCACAATGGATATATGTGAGCATTTGTGCCTCCCCCCACCTTTTTTTAAAGGCCAATCAAGTCATTCCTATACCTGGAATTATAATGCTCTGTATCTGCCTTTATCCTTTCTTGGCACAATGGTGCATCTTGCATTAACAAGGGGAAGATTTTGGTTGTAATGAATAGGGCTATATGTAGGTTGAAAAATCCAGATTAACTAGAATTGGCTAGGTTTCTCTATAGTGATTTGCTGCCATTTAATGGTCTGGATTTTTGAAGCCTAGATCTGGTAGCTTTAGTACAGAAGGTAGAGGCTTCTGCCTAAGGACACAGCTACAGTTGGAGGGTTGCACTAGGAATGTAATGAGAATGTGAAATAATGTAAGTATTTTGATTGATAAACGCTTGCTCTTGTCTTGTGCTTTGGTTAGAGAAAAAGATTGAACATATATTCTCTAATATGCTTGAAAGCATCCCTAGATGACAAGCAAATATTTCAAACTAAATTGCACTATTGATTCAAAGCACTTATAATCATTCCAGTTTTTCAAATATAGTCACTTGTATATGAATATGTGGTATACTTCTATACCTGGAGACAAATTGTAGCTTTTAAGTCAGTTGAAACTAAGTTAACAGATGATTTCTTTCCAATGGTTATACTGCCTATGTGCAGCTACCATCTGCAACCACTACCTGGAAGGTTGGGTTTGGGAGTGTCAGAGGCAAGCTGGGAAAAGACCACACATAACCATTCCTTTTATTTTAGTGTTGCCTCTGGTCAATCGATTTGGCAAAGATTTGAACTAATATGTACTAAACTATTTCAGCAGAGACAAAAGGTGGATGAACATATTTATTTCAAAGAATGGATTCCACTCTTAAAATGATTTTAGTTATTTGAAAGAAAAATAATTATCCGACTATGTTTGGTATCAATGATTCTGTATTTGCAGTTGGAAGAAAGGAGTTTCTAGGTGAAACAAGTTTTTGCGAACATCCTCACTTTATAAAACATAGCTATTTTCTTACTCAAGTGCAACTCTGTTTGGCACTGTCATGAGAAAGGTAAAGAAGCTCTTCAAAAATAAGGCTGGATTAAGTCTTCTAGCCTTCAAGTCTTTCAAATATCATGCTGCCTTGTGAGTAAGACAGAGCGGACTCCTGCTCAAGACAGCTTGCAGATCTCCTGGCAGTTTTTCAAACTATTCTAGGGAGATCTATTCCATAATCTAAGATGCATTTTGTAGAAAGAGCCTATTGAATTTTAAGCATCAATGCTGCCATTTAATCTGGAAACTGCAAGCCCAATTCTTTAGGATATATTATGAATACTACATATAGATAGCTATTTTCTTTAGCCAAAGCAAGATAACTTCTGCTTTTGTTCATTTAAAATATGATTTTTAAAATAAGAAATTGATTTCTTGCAAAATATGCAAGGGATATTTTGGGAGCAGTTAACATGTTTTTTTGTTCCTACCATTAAATGTTTGTTCAGGAACCAGTCTCAACATTTTTTAAATCTGCATTTTGCTCATAGTATTTACCTGTAGAGCTTGTTATGCTGTAGAATATTTTTTTAAAAAAAACTTATGTGAAGAGATCCAGTTACAGTTACATAGATTTCTTTGAATGAACTTCACTAGATGAGAAATCTATGTTGCACATCAATATATACACTGGGGCATACTTGTAACATAGCCTTCCTTGTAATACTGCAGATAGAATGGACGTACCTATTTCACTATTTTTATCTACTCACAAGTTAAGGTAGCAGGCAACTCAGTTGGGTTCTGTCCTTAGCTAAGTGGACAAAGAGTGAAAATAAATTTATATTTCTGCCTTATACGCTCACATTAAATGTGAAGTGTTTACAGAATATCTGCAACAAATGTTGCAGTTCTCAAGGAATAGACAATGGGGAAAGAAAATATTTAAAACACAATATCAACCGATATAAGTTAAAGATAAATACATCTGTTACATCAATCATTATTCTCCTTTCCATCATGGCCTGTTCTGAGAGGACCATCATGCAACTTCTGTTAAACTACACAATGTATTTAGGCTCCGTATCAAAATTTGTTTTGAACTGGGTTCTATATCTCATCTGTTAACACTGGGCTGCAACCAAAAATTGAGTAAGAATTCATTCACCTCAAGGAAAAGGAGAAAATTTAGGAGGGGAGGGGAAGAGCCTTGGAATAACTGGTTTCATATTTAAGCTGGTTTGATTGACCTGTACAGTTCTCTGGGAGACTTTGTAATTGAAATGTAGACTAGTAGTGCTTCAGATAAATAAAATCACCTTAATAATATTAAATTGTTGTATAATTTATTTGTTTGTGTTATTTTTAATTGCATTGAATTCTCTCTATTTCCAGAATATTGGGGGAGATTTATATATTTTTAAAAAAAGGCCTAAACATTTAATGAAGAAATATCCTAGAGAGGGGACTGAATCTTCAATACTCAAGGACTGGCTGAGACAAACTTATAGATGTATAGGTGTGCACAAACCTGAAGTAAAGGTACAAGTCTACTGCATATAGTATATGATACAACTATTTCATTATGCATGGATATTTTAGCCTGTTGTTTGCAAATGAGATATAATTTGGTGGAATAATTAAAAGGACACTAAAGAATCTGCCCTTTGAGAAACAAAACTGCAGTGGTCATAATATTTGGATTTTATTGCATCCATATCACAGGATGTATTATATAAATAATTTACATGGTACATTTAAGTGGATCATAATAATCATCAAGACTTGTTTTTTTAAAAAAGAGAAAGAGATAGATGCAAAATTAAAACTGCTAAGCTTGACAGAGGTCATGACACATTAAGTGGAAGCTGAGTAAGAAAGTTGTGAGAGGAGGGAGACACACACAGGGAATGGTCCCAGTTTCTTGTAAGGTGCCTGGGTTTACTCTCACACCTTTCATTCTTCTTCGTATCCATATTGGTTCCTCAAGCACAAGGAAGAAACTGCACTCTTTCTCATATTCCTCACGGTCAAGTATTCTAAGGGTAATGCATTTCCTGTGGGAACACAAGACAAAGGCAAAACAAATGGTTGGTGTTACACACACGCACACACATGCTTTAAGTTTGACCCAGCTGAGATGGTGGTTGATGGTGATGATAATGGGGGGACCTCTGATCAACACATCCTTATTTTTATGTATGTAAGAGAGCAGAAAGCCTCTGTTCTGGAAACTTTCTTGGTGATAAAATATAATTAAGTACATCCTAAAGAATTTAATACTGGAACTGTATTGATATGGGCATGAAAAGCAAGTGTGGAGTTGTTAAATTGCTTTGAAAGACAATGGATTTGCTTTTGACCATTCATTTGCTTCATTCCAATTCACTGTATCTCAATAGCTAATGAACATATTTTATTACAATTATCTTACGAAGTAACTTCACATGGGACACACTCTTTTTCAGGCAGGCATTTTATGAAGAATGAATACATGTGGTTATGTGCATCAAACCGAGGCAGACTTTGCCTGTGGTATATTTGAATGCATCACAGCACCTGAAAGCATACCTTCCTCTCCCATAGTCAACGTATGTTTGGCCTCACTTGAAAAAAAGAAGGATCTAACCTTACTTGCCAAAGTAAGCAAGAGTGATTTGAATCTGAGCCTCTTTTTTTTTTTTTAGTTTTCTTTCCACTATATGGCACTGAATCAAAAGCAAACGGTAGTAATGTAGAAGATAGATTAGATAACGATAGTTTTGTATGACAGAGAGTATGATGGTTTAATTAGATTCCTCTCTGGCTAAAACTATGCCTAAATTTGACAACAAATGGAATTTGGGATAACCTAGCAATGACACTTCTGGTCAGTGACTCAGCTCTCTGCCCTTTCACATAGATAATGGGAATGTGTGTTTTGACAATTATGAATTGGGATGTGCCAGGCATCCATGAGTGATCAAGACAAGTGCATACAGGTAGGGCTCAGCCCCATATAGCCGATCCCCCACCTTTCTTTTCACTCATCTCCACCAGACGGGGCTCCCCAATTTCAACGTAGAAGGTCTTGTTTTTCTCATACTCCTCATCATCAATTACTTTGATAGATATCGTTTTGCTGCAACAGAGAAGAATAGAGATTCGAGAATAAGGGAGGAAGAAGAAAATGGGAAGACAGCAAATGTAGAGAAAGGACAAAGCTGTAAGAGGAAAGGAGAAAAAATTAAAGAGATTAAAGGATATTTTACAATGCTGAGAACCTAAGATGAAATTTTTCTATGATAATGTTTACAAAATTGCCTAAGATCACAACTGTCTTTGTGAAGGCCACGTTTTTTAAATGTAATCAAGTCTCTGCAAGTATATTATTTGTTCTCTTCCTAGGACATGTTGACACAGTAAGTTGGTCATGTTAGTCAAAAGCCAATTTAACTGGACTGGCTTGGGAATTGTACATTGATGAAAATCTTAGAATGGTATTAAGGATTCTTAGTTGTTTTAAGAAGAAAGAAAGACTATTACATTATTTAAAGGAATCTAATCCTGATGGCCAATGCTAACCTATATCTTCCTAGTGATGTTTAAACTATGGGGCGAGAACTGTAAGTCTGTGCTACTGTATTATCAATAAATAAAATAAATCATCCTGTAATATCTTTTTATCACAAACTATTAGCTTTTTCAAATTTTTAGTTACAGGTCTGATTAATTATATAATTATATCAAGTCACTTGCTAGTTTTTATATTAGCAACTACTATTCAAAATGCTGTTCTAAAAGCATTTTAAGTAACACGAGATCCTTGCTTTAACCAATGATGCTTCTAGGCAGACATTTACTGCACAAATGTCTCTTCTTACAGAGCATTTTATTAGGAATACATTACTTCTATTATTTTTCTGTTTAGATTAAAATGTGTTACGTTGGAAATAATATTGAATAGTTGGGCTTTGCCTGACAGCTCTACAGCTTATTTGTTGGAACCAAACCAAGGGTCTGCATTCCTAAAGATGTCCACTTAGAGGTTGGAGTTTGATGTTAATGAGCCTCACAATCAGGTAAGTGTTCATAAGAGTGTACACCTGTCCCAAAATGCTGTGTATCTTTTCTTAGAAGTAAATCCCCCAATTATGAATGGAATTATTCCCAGGTAAATAGACACAAAATTCTAGTAAACACATACATGCAAACATACAGATAACTGTACCTATGAAGGAAAACCAGTGCTGAAAAGGGAGCTGAGTTTTAACCTTTGTGGTAAAAGAGCTCAGGATCTTTAGTGTCTGGAACCATATAAAAGAACGACAGTCTTCCAATGTGACCCCTAGAGATCCAAAGCTGTCTTACAGGATACTAACTTTTACCCAAAGCCCTATCTGTCCTCCTCCCCAACACTCATTTGGTCCCATTCCTTTTCCTACAGCTTTCCTGATTAGAATTAGTTTCTTGGAGCTATGAAATATATTTTGCATTTATTTTATCTGAGTTATATTTTTATTTTTGTGGCCATATGGAATACAATATCAAATTTATTTACATCGGCTTTTATTTACTGGTTGAAATGCTATTAATCTTGGATTCTACATGTAAATGTGATTCTTTTAGTTTAAAGAAATCAGTTCTGACATTTCACATTCAAATATTGTACACGAGGACACATGTTATTATATGCCCCATAACTAAGACTGCTACCACTTACAGATTTAATATCTGTTGTTTATATTTAATATTCATTTGAAAAGTTTAGAGAAACAGAAAAGTTTGTATATGGAGCTGCAGGTTTTAACTGTCACTACCTTGGATTATAATGTATATTCCTAAGAAAATTAAAATATATACAATTAGCAGTGCTGAATAGAAATGATAGTGAATGGCTCTTCCATTTTAATACATTTTCTAAGACTGGGAAAAGTAAAACCCATAAATACGACACAGATGAAAAGTTATCTTCCTTTTTTCCTTGAGAAATCTCGGCTTATTGGCTAGATTTGAACATCATGTTGAAATTGCAAAGGCTTATAACATGTTAAGTCATTAAATTTATTTTACAGGAAACAAAAAAAATCCCAACAAACAGCAATATCATTAATAGGTTAGAAAATGAAATATCTTTACAATAAAACAAGAGTTGAAAACAAGATATTCATTTCAAAAACCACACACACACACACACACACACACACACACACACAGAGTGCATATTTCAGTGCTCAAATTCAATTCCCTCAAATCAATTGATCTGTCCATTCATCAATTACACAGATCTGAGGACTCTCTATATAACAGGGTTTTCCCCCCTGCTTGCCAGTCTGCTGGAGATCATGCTATGAGTTATCTTGCAACACTCCAGTTTTAGCCTATGCTATTAACTTATAAATTGCATACGCAAATTGAATATGCTTACATACATAGGTGAAGCCAGATGGAAGCTTATAAATACATTGTGAAAATGGGATTAATATCTTTTGATATGAAACAATCCGAGGGAAATTTTGTGATTACCGAAAAACAGTGTGGTAGAGGAGAAGAGAATTGCTGATATATGTATATAGATTTCAGCACAATGGTATTTAAAAACTTTTAATTCAGTTTGGACAACCTAAGAGATTTACACTTATCTTCTATTGTCTCTTTCAGGTTCTACCTTCTTACCTGTTCTAGGGAGGGAGGGAATATATAAACCAATGGAGTGATTTGATATAAGGCAGTTTTCTATGTTTGTACTGTTAATATTTTAGAATAGTTTGTGACTGAACATTCCTTTGAACCAGGAATGCTAATTCTCAGTTTTGTTTTGTTTTTTACAAATACACTTTGCACTGATCTCCATGTTGTGGTAACACACAGCAGTGGAACAGCCTGAGGGTTGTTGAAATGATAGATGTTAGTGACCTTGCTTGATAAATTCATCAAACTACAAAAGACATCTGGAAGCTGAAGTAAATAAAAGCAGCTGTTTCTAAACTCCTAAAGTTAACCTAGGATGTATTTAAGTAGAGGACCCATAATATTAAGTAAAACAGCACAAAAGAACAGATGGATGATATCACATCTATCCACGAAATTTGGGCATCAAATATTGTCTATAAAAAGTAGCCTCTATAAAAAGACAATGCTTTTCAACAAGCATCCATAGAATGCTGTGTATTCTCAGTCAGACTTTTCACACTTGGAAATGCCAAAGGATGGATTTTTCTTTTCCTGGCAACAGGAAAATGGCAAGAATTTTTTTTTTGCAAAAAAACATTTTTTTTCTTTTGTAAACAATGATTAATTTGGTTCCTTTTCATCCAGGGAAGATTTTCAGTTATCATTAAATCATTAGAGATGCTTGATCTAATTTCTGAACTAGAGGCAGTTTATGGAGTGAGAGGTAGAAATAGGGAGGAAGAGATGGCAGGAACATATGTGGATTATTAAAGACAGATAAGAATCTGTAGGGTGCCTCTCTTACTTGTCTCTCTTAATCAGAAGTACAATTTTATATTTGTGTCTCCCATGGAATTCTTCAAAGGAATACTGAGAGTTAGTCAAAACTGAATGATAAATATTGATTAGAACTACACATACAACACTATTTTGTCTAAGTCACAAATACTATCCTTTTCTCCAAAGGAAGAATTTTACACGATGTTCATGACAAATCTGTAACTAAATTTTTAATGGTTCTTCTGGTATGTGTTTATGGAAAAAGGGCGTTGGTAATTACCTGATAAGCCTGTTCTCTGTGAGCTGTGAAGAGCATCCAGTGATGGAAGGTGCTTCAGTCCCTTCTCGGAAGGCTGGGCTTAAACTTGAGGACACTCCTCCTCCTCCACGAGACTCCTCCTTAGCGTCCCCAGTTTTGCGAAGCCAAGGTATTGATACTCTATATGCTTAAGCCTATGTAATAACCCTGGCCGGAACAGACCCCCTACCAGATGGAATAAAAGGGAGGGGCTGGATGCTCTTCACAGCTCACAGAGAACGGGCGTATCAGGTAAGTACCAATGCCCTTTCTCCCATGAGCTGTTCAGAGCATCCAGTGATGGGACATACCAAAGCTTGGC